CTGAGAGTAATGAGTTGCTTCCACCTAATAAGTGGTTGAGAGTGGTTTAAAAACCGCATATGTTCTAATATTTTAAGGATCAAAATATTAGAACCGCATGTTCTAATATTTTAAGGATCAAAAACGCATTATCAATTTGAGCGAAAAAGACACTTTAGAAAAAAAAAGGAGATGACAGCAATAAAATTATTAATTAGTTATATTAATAAGGGTTGACAGAGTAAAGAACAGCAAGTAGAAATTTATTAAACTTACTCATCTGAATATTTTTGATAGTATTTTAGTTCATAAATGTTTATTGGTGATTTTTAGCATTTCCTTTTTAATGCAGTTTGTAATTTTAGAAAACCATAGCCTATAAATGGAGGTTTTTGCTTCAAATTTACAGGGTTTGTTCTACATATAATAACAGAGAATCTAAAGCAAAACTGATGTCAAAAACAAAGTACTTTATGAGTTATTAACATTTTTCTGTATCATTTCATTAGCTGAGCCTCCATTTTTTGATGTTTTGTTTTTAAAAAAATTGGAAATATAACTTTTAAAGCGAGTTTTGGCAATAACTTTAATTCAGACATATAAAACATTTTAATAAATATGAAGCTCTAATTTTTAGTGGTTTTTGAGTTATCACTTTTCAAAATAAGATTTCAAATTACTCATTTTGCAACCATTTTTACATATTTTTGCAATTTTTGGAAGAAATTTGATGAAAAATAATATTCTCTAATACCTTATTTAACTAAAACTAGCAGTAAGCAACCCGTAATAATAATACGCGCTGTTAGTAAATAAAATTAAAAAAAAAAACCGCGTATAGAAAAGCCTAGAAACTACTTTAAAATAGAAAAGCCTAGAAAATGATGTAACTCGACTAATATTAAATTAGCGTATTCATATTATCAGAATAAAGAAATTTAAAAAAGTTTTTTTTTTTTTAATTGGTAAGTCATTCTACACTGTACAATAAAGGTTGGCAAAATGAAGAACAACGACTAGATTTCTATAAATCCTACTCACTAGGAAGTTTTTGTTTGTTTTTTTAGTTTTAAAATTTTAGCTTTCGCTTTTTTGTTATTGAACTTTTTCCTTCAAGTTAAAAGAATTCGTTTTAAATATTTTAATAATTGGCCTGAAGCAAAACTAATAATAATAATAAAAAAAAGAACTTCATAAGTTATTACCATTTTTTTGTTTCATTTCATAAGCCAACCTTCATTAATTTTGATGATTTTTTAAAAAAATCAAAAGTTATAATTTTTATCGCGAATTTCGGTCCTTTATTTTTTGTGCATAAAACGTTTTGCCAAAAATAAAGTTTTAGTTGGGTGAAAACTTCATGTTCATAACAACTGAACGTTAAAAGATTATTAGAAGTTTGAAAACTTGTTCATGTTTGGGGTAGGAAGAGGTTTTTCGTTACCAGGCTCCAATTGCTGCAATTTCTTTTTTTTTTTTTGAAAAATATTCTTCGACAGCATAAACATGTTTAAATATTGTAGTTGGGTTTTGCATGTCTAAAAGTGTCATATTTGTTACATCAGAAAATCATACCTACGCTACTATTTCAAAGTTAAGGTGGTTACTTCACAGAAATAGTACTCCACATAACTCCACAGAAAAGACTAACTTTTGATAGCAAAAAGTTTTTGATTTAATTTTTTTACCTAAAATGTGGTTCTATTTACGAAAATCAACTTTAAAAAAAAAATTTCTGGATTTCAGAATTATTTAAAAAATTTTTGTGACAAGCTAGGAATCAAAATATTTATCATATCAAGTTGAAAATTGGTATAAATACTCATTGAGGTATATTTATCCGGATGAGCGAAGCATTTTTTATTATTTACAGTATATAAAAAGTTACATCATTTGAAACAAACAGTTTCAAATGATGTAACTTTTTATATACTGTAAATAATAAAAAATTTATATACTGTAAATAATAAAAAAGAAAAGTTCGAGACTCGTTTCCGGTGTCTAAGTTTTTTTTTTTAAGTTAGTGCACATAAGTTATTTTTTGTTGCTGCACACTGTGCACCAACTAAATAAAGTTCTGCATTTGGATAATCACGGCTATAATCGTTCGTTAACAGGCTGCAACTACTCCGTTAACAGAGGGTACACATCGACTAAGTAAAATTTAAGCGCATTTGATTTTACAATCAACATAGAGATACATCAACTGAGGGTTTTGGTTTGGTCAAATACTCTTTTGATTAAAAGAAAGTCTACTCTAGATTTAAGATTTAAAAAAAAAAAATATTGCGTCACAAAACTGGAGACATCCTCGAAACAAATCGTCACAAAATCGCCTACTCTTTTAGCTCTAAAAGTTAAAAAACATACCAATACCCTCAAGGAATACATTTTGAGTTTTTTACTTCACCATCTTTATCTAAGTAACCCACTTTAATTGTTCTTATTTGTTTTCTTCTCTTTTTGATACGGTCAGTGGACTTTTGAAGAGACCGTTTTATAGTTTCTTTCTTCTTTTCATTAAATTTTATAGACGTAACATATCCTATTAGTTGAAATTTATTCACTACAGAGAGGATTCCATTAGGACCCTCATTAAACTCAATAACAGATAAATTAACTGCAGACTCTAAGACTCCTCTACCAACAAAAATATTTTTTTGTGGGTTGAGGAGTTTCAAAATGTTTTAGACTGAAACAGAAAGATTTACTTGCTTTGCATATGTATTTACACCATAAGCTTTTTCTAAATGATATTTGCAACAAGTCTTAGTGTCACTTGGGCACATACTGTGTCAACATTACTTGTTGTCAAAATCTGTAAAATGAAACAAAACCGCCCAAACAGCTTTTTTCATAGCATACAAATTGTGAAGATTGTTTCTTACGGCTACGCCATAGAGGTTCTGCATAGAAATGATCACAGATTTATTTAAGTTTCCTCTTCCATGGAATGGTGTGCTTCTTTCTTTGTAAGTCTTAACAACCTTACGAAGTCTAGTGCACATTCTCTTCTGTACATGGCCAATACATTTCAATTTTGTGATCTTAATGTTTTCTAGGTTCCATCAACGGTAACACATTTTTGATTTAGACAATCAGAATTAGAATGGAATCTTTCCAGCTGCTGTACAATATGCTTCTCTAATAAAATTTTGATTGTGACAATGATAACAATTGTTTGTGATACTAAACACGTTTAAGCAAGAAAAAAAATCTTTTCATGGTTTCAAACCCCACACTTATCTCTCGCGAGGCAATAATGCATCTAATATTTATTTCAAACGGCTCCTTACTTTTTACTAGTATGTTCGCAGGGTTTGAGGTAAAAAATATATCTATTTAAATAATAATGACAGTGTTTCCAAAGAATTGGCAAAAACCCTTTGAGACTTCCAATCGGGGTAAAAACTAGTCAAAAATTGCGTGAGGTAATTTGTGAACGACTCCTTAGTGCGAATCAGCATAAGTGCGCCGAAAGAATTCGCAAACATTAGCATAAGTGCAAAGCAGTTGCAAAAACTGGCATAAACGCAAATCGGCTAGGAATGTACCGGAATTCTGTTTCGGTCAAAATTTGTGATTAAGCCATTCCGGTACCGACTGAAATTACAATATTTCAGGCCGGAATTTATTTTTTACTTTTTTTACTTAAGATATGTGACACAGACTGTGTAAAAAAAAAATCATTGTCGTACAGGGCAATGAAGAACTATAGGTAAACCTTGGTAAAAAATACAAGATTCTTAACAAACACAATGCAATTTTAGGTTAAGCAGTCTTAAATAATTTTATTTTTTCGCTTATTGCGCTCTCGTCGATGGAGGCTATAAGATAGTTGGTGTAGCAACACTCTTTTGTAGCAGTAGACTATAAGATAATCGATGTAGCAGCACTCCCTTTTTGCAGCAGGCTACAAGATAATTGATGTATGTACTTAAGTAATAATAATCCTCTATGTTTATATTGAAAAAGTCAACTATTTGAACAAGTCTACACAAGAAAGCCCAAAAAACGAAACAATAAAATTATTTTAGACTGCTTAACTGTAGCTTTGCCTAATTTTATTTGTAGTTTTAATTTTATTGTATCGCTTATATAATGATTTTTAATATTATGGTGCAAAAAGAGTTACTATCCAGTTTTTAGCTACCAAGCTCTTTTTTTCATCAAAAACGTTACCTGCCTCTGAGAATTTTTAACGTTTCTTAACTTTTAAATAGTTAAAAAGTTTAAGATTCTTAATAAAGTATTTCAATTTTCAAACTAAATGTGAAAATATATAACAAAGAAATAATTTTAAATATAAATATTAAGCAGATTATAAATAAATTTATAAGAAATAAATAAAAACAACATTAGATTAAAATGAAACTAGAGTCAAATTAATGATATAGGTTTTATATTATATATATATATATATATATATATATATATATATATATATATATATATATATATATATATATATACATATTTATATATATATATATATATATATATATATATATATATATATATATTTATATATATATTATAGGTTATAAATATATTATGTACCCACGATGCTGAGGTGATGGCTTTAACAATCAACCTTGAAGGTAAAAAATTACAACAATATTAGTAATCTCGTTACGGTCCGAATTTTTTTGACAATTCCGACAAACCCGGTTCCGGCCGGAATTCAAAATTTCCAGTCCGGTACACCCCTAAAATTGGCATAAATGCGCCAAAAGAATTTATTATTGGCAAAAGTGCGAAATGCCGATTCGCCCCTATGTTAATATTTGCAATTCTGTTCAGCGCACTTATGCCGATTTGTACTTATGCCAGTTTTTGTAATTGTTTCACACTTATGCCAATGTTTGCAGTCTTTTATTACACTTGTGCCAATTTTTGCAACGCTTCGCACTTTTGTCAGTTCGTACTTAAAAAATTCGCGCTTATTCAGCCTCCCGGAAATGACTTATTTTGCAACCTTTTATTTTTTAGATATTTTTGCAATACTTAAAACAAATTGATGAATAAACAAAAAAAGATTGCACCGTAACTTACATTGAAGGATTAAATAAATTATCAAATACAACATAATATAAAACTTGAAATAAAGTTCAATAGCTGCTTTTGTTTGAATACTCGTTGTACTTTTTACTAGATCCTTTTACTAATCCTACAGGGTATTTCTCTACATTTAGATTATACTTGCGGATAGCAACTTTAGGCAAATCAATATTGCATTTTTCAGCTAATTGTACCAAGTGTAAGAGAAGAACAGTAAGTTTTTCTGCAAAAGTGATTCGGTCTTTCTGTGAAGCTATAACGATTAAATAAACAACTATTAAAGATGAGATACAATATGTAGCGCAGAGGTACAAAGTTTTAACATCAAGGCACAAAATTAAAAAAGTACAATGTTTTAACATATTTAACGGTGTCGGAACTAGAAATCAATGGACTCTGGGGGAAGATTTGATCAGGAATTTTTAAACCTAAAAACTAAATGTCACAAGAAACTTATTTATATTAAGTGAGATAAAATAATAGGTTGTCAGTCAATTTAGTTCCTTTTCAGAAAGTTTATACCTCGCAAAATTTCACCATCTGATTTCCAGCCACTACATATATAAAAAAAAAGGTAAAAAAAGTACAGTTCGAAAATAAATATAATACAATGCAAAAAAAAAAAATACTATAACAAATACAGTGGCGTTAAAAAATATTAGGTCACAAATTTTTTCTGATGGCTAATTAATTATCTTTTAACTAATTTTTAAATGATAAGTTTCATAATAAGAAGTTTTATAATAAGTTTCACATAAGAAGTTGTAGTATTTAAAAGCATCCATAAATATATTTTTATCAAAAGGCTAAAAACCAGTGCATTTAAATCCAGATTTTATATTTTTAGGAGAACTAGCTCTATCTCAAGCTTGAAGACAAATTTGTGGGATATCATAAATGCTAACAGTTTGAAAAGGGTGTGATAACATCCATGAATCCAGACAACTATTGTAAAAATGCTTAAATGGCTCAAATACAGTACTTTCTAATAGTTAAAGTTCATTTGATATATGTGGTGGGAGCATGTCAATTCCATTTTCCTTGCTGCAATTCAGTCCGTCTACAGATAAATGGGACTCATGGTTGTCCATGATCAATAACACCTTGTTTTGTTAAGAACCACGAACATTCATTGTGCAGAACAACGGATATTTTGAGAAATATATTTAAACACCTTAACAAAGTTCTCATTTGCCATCCAGAAGGGTTAACCAAACCAACTCTTGCAGAGTCTGGAATACAGTGCATCATTTTCCTTTTATCAAAGCAGTGGCAAGAAAAAATCTAAACAGGTGATAAGGCATGACCAACCACTAAAACGAGTTTGATCTCTATTACATCCCTGGTAGTACTGCGCTCAACTTGTTTCTCCGCGCAGCGGCCTTGTTTGTCAAGGTTCATGTTTTAGAGTTATGGAGTTGAGAGAGGGTTGTAACCTCAACTAAAGTAGCTTCTTCAAATGTAGTGGCCTTCATGGCCTTGGGAAGGTGAATTGAAATAATAAAAAAACTTATGATTCCTGTATGTGTTACCAATTCTCCACTTTCTTGGGATGTCACTTGACTGACTTGGTATTGCCCTTTCCGAGTTAAGACTTTGGAAAAACGCTGCACTGTGGTTACCCCAGTTTCATCCAGATTGTAAATTTGGTATGGTGTGAAATTGTGTAATGAGGTCATGCAGTTTATTTTTAAAATCTGCTGCTGTTGCTCTATCTCTCTGATGCTCAAATTAATTGTTTTGACTTCTTTTACGGCTTCCCTTGACTTTTAGGTAAAAATATTTTGTTATGTTTAGTTTTCTCTTATAGTTTCTGATCTTTTTATGCTTAGCTGTGGTAGAAACAATAAAACTTAAACATTGTTAAATAGTTAACAAATGTAAATAAAAAATATAATTAAACTTGTTAAATATGTTAAACTTTTTGTTTATTCTAGTAACTACTACTCTGAAAAGAGTATTAGTTAGTCGATAAAGTAAAATATTTTACTTTTGTAATTTCATTACAAAAGTAAAATATTAAATATTGCAAATCAAATTATTTGTTTGGACATCTTTTACGGCTTCCCTTATCTTTTCAGGTGAGAATGTACGCTTGGTTTTTTTTCTTATAGTTACTGGTCATATTTTGATTAGTTGTAATAAAAGTAACTATAAAACATAAAACTTGTTAAAAGTGTTTTCTTTTTTGTTTATTCAACTGCTGCTTTTTAGTTTAGCTTTACGGCTTTTATATACATTCACTCAACAATTCTTTCATGTAGAATGAGTGTACAAGGGAATTATGGTGTTGCAATCATTAATGATTGTACAAATAGAAATTTACAAAACTTTAATAATTGTCCATAATTACAAAAGCATTAGAAAATTTGACTTTAAACTGTCCAAAATGTCCAAAGGGTGTATTGAAAAAATAAGAGTATATTGAAAAAATCAAGGGAATCGTTACAAATTATTTATAAATATAGATCACAAATACTTTTATTAAAAAAAAAACTCTGACAGAGTTCATAACTAGAATCTGAATGATTCACTTGAAATTTTACATCATACGTAAAAGTGAAATTCCAGATTTTACAGTGAAATTCCACTCTAAAATCTGTTTTTTAGTGGAAAACTGTCACCTAACTATTTTAAAGCTATGTTTTTGATATTTTACCAACATATCGACAATAGACATAATTGTCCTAATGTTAACAGGGTAGGAGATTTCCAAGTGTCCATTCTCTCCCCATGTACAAAGTCTTCCCGGTCTGCCCTATCTAAATTGGTAAATTCTTAGCACACCTGCAGCAGAAAAGTGGTCAGAAAATTATCATCACAAGAAGTCAAATGGAAAAAAGTCAGTCTATATAAAGATAACACAAAAGTATACAAGAAATAGTAAGATTATGTGGTGTTTTACTATGCTGTATCCAAGCAATGCTGAATAACTACAAAAATTCAAATGATGTAAAAAATTTATCAAAAGTTGGCAGGCTGTCAAACTATAACTCAAGGGATGAAGCCTATTTTATTGAAGGGTAAGGAAAGATTCTAAAATTAGCTACCAAGAAGTGTCAGCTGAGTTTAGTAATAAGGCTGGTTTTGTTAGTGTTAGTTATAGCACAGCATGAAAGCATCCTAATAAAAAAGTTGTTGATTGCCAGAAAACCGTTTTTAACGGTGATGGGTAGAATTAAAAAATATAAGTGGTGTAAAGAAAGACTTCACTGGTCGGTAGAAGATTGGTCTAAGTTCATCTTGAGTGATAAAACAAATTTTGAGGTGGTTTATCATAAATCAAAAATTATCGTTAAAAGATTAGCTTCAGAGAAATATAAAGAAAGATTTGTGTACCAAGTGTACAAGGCAGTTGCACCTTAACTGGTATATGAGGATGGATTTCTTAGGGAATAGGATTTCAAAAGTTATACAAGGAGAATTAATCATAATAACAAAAAGACATTGGAAATCATTTTTTTTATATGTTCAAATAAAAGTTAAAAAAAAATCTCTTCTTTTTTTTATCTTTTTTAAAAGCTTGAAAATAGTTTAAGTAATTGCAAAAAATCTAAGTGACCTTATATTTTTGAAAGCTACTAAAAAAAAAAAAAATCTAATTGATCTTATATTTTTGAAAGCTACTGTAACAAAAAAAAAAAAGAGCTTAAAACAAGGTAAAATGAGATAAAGGAAATAATCAAAAAGTAATGACTATGTTTATTCTCTTAATTATTGAACAAACTTTTTAAAAATCTTTTTCAATCATGCTGTTAAAAATCTTTTTCTAAACAAGATATAAAATTATTTATTATTTGAAAAATTATTAGAAAATTAACCAATCAATCTAATTATAGTTATTAGTTATAACTATATTATTATTTAATAGTAGATAGACACAAGAAACACATGCCTATTAGGTCATAGTTGAATTGAAAAAAATAATAGTCACTGGCTTTTAAAACACTGATTTGTTTCCGTTCAACATCGATAAAATTTATTAGTCAAAACTAAAAACTAAAACCTTTAAAGCCCTACAGTCTTAACCAGAGTCTTGGTTATTTCAACTATCAGAATGCCACTAAAACTATCATCAAGATCATCAAAAAACTGCAGCATCTCATTAACTGCCTTCTGAATCTAAACCAACATCTAGCATCAGCATACATTGAATAGCATCAGCATACATTAAATAGCATCAGCTCTGAAGTCAACTGACCTGCAGCCAATCTTTAATAGCTTAGTAGCTCTAGCTATTCCAAAAAAAAAAATTGAACGTTGAAACAAAATTATATATTAATTTGGCTAAAAACTTTGAAAAAAGCATATATCAATATGCCTAATTGATTGCAAAAGCCTAGCAACATATGTTTCACATTTTGTGTGTTGACACAAAAAAAACCTTTTAAATGTTGATAAGGTTTGAAGGGGAGTGTCTCAATAAAACTAAAATACTTGAGAGATTGAAAGATGACAACAAAACAAAAGCAGTAAAGTAAGCTAAAAAACAACATTAACTTAACTTTGATAATCAGTAGGAAACAAATTAAGCAATAACAGCAACGTTAATAGCAGCAACAACAGCGGCGTTAACATAACCAAGAAGCAACAACAGCAACATTAACAGAAGCAAACCAAGTCAATGTTTAAAAAGTACCATAAAGTTTTAAACGAAGCTTAAGCAAGTTAAAATAGAGAATGGTACCAGAATGAAAATCCAAAATGCAAGGTTTGGCTTTCTCAACCTAAATTACATGCATAGTAAAGCGATATGCAAATGCAAATGAGTTTTATTTACCACAAAGTGACACACAGTAGACAACTTAACTCAACACCAAAACCTCTGAACGATTTAATCTAATTAAGTTGTTAAGATGTAATCATTTGTTATTATTAGTTGTTGATTTTTAATTGTTTTTTCGATTACTTATAATATTTTTTTATTATGATATTTTGATTATCCATCATATTATATTTCATTCACAAGCGTAAAAACTTAAAAGCGTAAATGCATACTTTAATCTCCTTAAAACCGTTAAATGAAATAATTTTTTTTTTAAATTGAATAAAGTTTCTTAAAAAACTAAAATTTATTATTTGCTTAGTATATTTTTGAAAATTCTCAAAAACTTTAAGAATTTAAAGATTATTTTCTTGTAAAAATTTTAAAAAAATGTAAAAAATATTAAAAATAAAAAGAAATTAATCAAAAATTATAATTATTTAACTTGAAACCATTTTACTTTGCAGCTTTTAAAATAAAAATAGTACCTAAGTTCAGAAATTTTTCCGACAGCACCAACCTAAATAATAAAAAAAAAAAAAGTCAAATCAGCAACTTGTATCAAAAAATAAATAAACTTTAAATATGTTTTCAAAACCAAAGTAACAAAAGTTACTCACAATAGAAAATACCAAATTTCTGGGAGAATGGTTCAAAGCCTTACTGTTTGACATTTTTCTACTAAAGATTTTTACATAATGCAATTAAATAAAAAACAAATAAACACAAATTTGAATCCATTCTTCTAAACATAACAAATACTAAAAAAATACTTGTATACATATCTTCGAGGTTAGGATGAGCAGAAAAAACCTTCGCAGTTGAAACTTTATCCACGTAATCTGACTCATTCTCTACATTTAAAAAAAAAAGTTTTATCAAGGCAAGCGTTTCTCCAATAAAGAAACCAAAAATTATTAACTCCTTGTAAAAAAAAAAAATTATAATAATAATAAATATAACCATTAAAAATTATGTGGAGTTGTTTTTTCATTATGTTGCTATTATTATGTCATTGATACTAATAATAAAGACAAAAAAACTAACCACTGTTTATTATATTAGAAATCTTTAGTAGATAGCCAGCAGCATTTGATAAATCAACATTACATATGTCAGCTAGTCGAATAAGATATAACAATACATCGCTGAGCTCCTCTCCTAAATGGATCTGCTCTGTGACTGGCCAATCTTTTCAAAAAATTATAGATTTTTAAAAAAGGCTCTATATATATATATATATATATATATATATATATATATATATATATATATATATATATATATATATATATATATATATATATATATATATATATATATATATATTTATATATATATATTATATTATGTATATATATATATATTTATATATACAGTGTGGAAAATAATGGCCGGTCAACCGCCTGAAATGTCTAAAATTGCTCTTTTGACCTCCAAATTGAATTCTTGCCAGTCATGTTTGACTGATTGAAAAAAAATAATCAAAGTTTTGGAAAATAAGGTTTTAAAAATAATCATGATTAAAATTTCATAATACCATTTACATTTTAAATAAATCAGAGGTTTTTAAAAAAGTGATTTGTTTGAAAAGTTTTGAGCAAATCTGACCTTTTAAAAAACACAGATTCAAATGAGCGTTTCAAATAGTGTTATTTTTTACAACATAATATTAAGTTTTACAACTACTCTATTTTGCTTTGTTGACGAATATTTGACGATATTTTGCTTCTCATTTAATTAATAATAATAATAATAATAATAATAATAATAGCAATAATAATAATAATAATAATAATAATGAGGTAGGTGTAACAACTGGTGTTAACAGTTGTGGAGCGCAATAACAGTTGATATTGCACTGTATCAGCTTTGCACAATTCCTAAGTCTCTAAACCAAATTATCTTAAAAACAATTTTGTAATAAAATGTCTTTGCATATTTTTGATTTATCTAGTTTGTTTTTGAACTGATTTATTGAATCACCTTTTATTATGTCACTCGGTAGATTATTCCATATATTGACTATACAATTAGAGAAAAAATTTGATCTGATAGTATCCTTGCAGATTAGTTTTTTTAATTTGAATTTATGTTGCCTCAGATGGGGGCCTTCTTGTGATGCGGTATGATTGTAGTTTGAAACCCAATTACTTTATTAAAACCATATTAAATTTTGTATTGTTGGATTAGATCGCAACGCATTTGCCGTTCTTCTAGAGTTGTTAATTGCATTATATCTAATCTTTTCTCATATGGTATTTTTTTCAATGCTGGCGCTAACTTTGTGGCTCTTCTTTGGATTTTCTCAATTTTATTGATGTCTTGTCTTGTCCAGATAAATCCAAAAAAAAATAGTAAAATTTCATTTTACTGATTTTTTTTAAATCCTCTATTTCATAAATGATTAAAGTTTTTATTTTTTTTATTGTTTTAACATAAATTAAATTTTTTCATTTATTTTCTCGTAAGTGCTGCAAATGTGAATGATTTATAGATAAGTTTAAAATTTTTTATAATAACATTCTTAAAAAAATATATATTTAGTAAAACCTCATTTTATGTAACACCAGTAATTTTTGTAATAAAACAATTGTTTTCTTAGTATTAAGTATTTGTTTAAATAGTTTCTCTGCACAAGTGGTAATAACATTAATAACTAATTTTAACAGTTTTTAGAATGAGCAGAGCTAAAAAAATACTTTATATTTCAGCTCATTAAAATCAGATACATAAAATTATTACTTAAAATTTTTGTTTGTAACTAAGAACATTTTCTCTTCCAATTGTACTTTTTTTTATCATTTAATTTTTTCATTTTTTTCAGCTTTTTCCGCAATGAGATGTCATTCCAATGAATAAATTTTTTTAACCCTTTATTTCTCAGTAATGCTATATGGCATCATTGAGAAATAAAGGGTTAAAGGTTTAAACAAAGGCAATAAAAGGTTTAAAGGTTTCAATGGAAGCAAGTAAAAAGAGACAAACAACACTTTCATTTTTTATTAGCATTTTGTAAAACGATTTCTTGTAGTATCAGGCTTGGTCGGGAAGCGAGTGCAATCACACTCGATAACTGAACACGGAAATAATATTTAATTGCGAAAAACCGGCCAGATTTTTAAGTTGTTTTGAGAACATTTAAATTTATGTATGTTTCCTTAATTTCATTATTTTATCTTTAAGTTTCCTTAAGTTCATTATTTTATCTCAAATTTTAAAATATTTTGTTTTACGAACATACATGGAAACATACATAAACTCGAATGGAAACATACATAAACTCAAATCTTTGTGCGAAAAATAAAAAAAGAATATTTGCAAACACAAAAAACCCGCTAAATCTATAAAAAATTAATTTTATTGGTTCAAAAAATACTAACCGAAATTTCCAGAGTATTCTGTTGAAATATTTTTAAAAATTGTATTTTTTGAGTTTTTTTATGTTATCGTTGATATTTCTAGCATAAATTGTTTTAAGAATAGCCTGGACCCTGAATACGCTGTTAGTTTTATAGAGTGAATGTCTGTCTTTTATAGAGTGAATATCTGACCTGAGAATGGATCGACATAATTATAAATAAAAAATTAATCAAATTTTAGGGGGGGGGGGGCACGAGCCGGCTGTACCCCCCTCTAAATCTGCGCCTGATCAAACAAACTATTATTTTAATTCTCGAAGCCACATCTACAAAGCTATAAATGTTTTAAACTAACATTATTTGTTTACAAAAATAAATGTTTTAAATTTAACTTTTTTATCTTGTCAACGTTTTGTAAACATAATTTAGATTTTATTAGTATATTCTTATTTTTTATATAAAAGGGATGTATTTTTTATGTATGTAATGTATTTTTTATGTATGTAATGTATTTTTTATGTAATGTATTTTTATGTATGTAATTTTTGTGCATTTAATTTTATGTATGTGTATTTTATTCAAATGTGATTACATTTGAATAAAATAATTACATTAGAATAAAAATATGTAATCTTTTAAAGCAATTTGTGCGATCGATTTTGTAAACAAAAATACTTTAAATAATAATTGCGTTTTTAATGAAATTATTAATAATAATCAAAGTTTATAATTTTAACCACTCATCAATTTTCCTCAGTGTACCCGATAACTGATTCTTTCCTTGAAGAAAGAAAAATTTTTAAGTTCTTAGAAATTAATTAACTAACTTCAATTATTTTTGCTTCAGCCATTTTTACAAACTCGTTATACTTAAACTTAAAATTACTTTTTTCTGTTTTAAATACTAATTAAAATTATAAAGCCCACTCATTAAACATCTTCAGCGTTATTGTGAAGCAGTTCCACTTCTTCCTCACATAGTAATTTAATGTTTTTAGTTAATTTCTATTTAGCTTATTGAATTTTTACAGTAACTCAATGATTTATTTCATTTGTTCATCTTACTAAGAATAATTGTTTTAAATGTGTTAAATTTTTCAAATTACGCGAAGCATAAAACAGTTATTGAAAAAACTATTTTATTTATAAATAACTCGGTGGGAAATCGATAATGACAGCAATTTGGCCACAAGGACCGCTAGCTTTTTTAAGTTAACGAAAAGCTATCGATATTTGTAAAGATAAAGACAGACATTTGGTTAAAAGGACAGCCAGCTTAATAAGCTAAAGACCCACTGACTATTGTAGCTAGCGTCATATCGTAATAAAGTCGTTGTCTAAAAAAATTTGATTTGTAGCTATCAACCAGATACAGATTTGTAGATATTTTGTAGCTAGCTATGAAGCTACGATATGTAGCTAGTGACACATTGCTACAAAATCGCAATGTTTAAAGTTCGATTATCTTCATAATTATAATAGACTCAACACTAAAAACCGATTTTTTAAAGATATTAAAGATATTAGGAAATAATAAAATAGGAAAAAAAAATTGCTAGAAAATCGCTATAAAGCTAGCTAGTCGCTAGCTCATTTCCCACCGGGAAATCATCTAGCATTAGTTTTATTGGTTGAATCTTGTTGGACCTTTCAGGGTCGGGGACTGTATTATTTTGGCAGCCTTTTTTATGTGCCACAGCGTAAAAATGACGAAAAAAATATCAAATGGTCCTCTTGACTATTTCGTGGCCCCCAACATTGTGAGTCTCAAGGCTATAGCCCATCTACTCCCCCCCCCCCCCACCTCCTCAATCCAGCACTGGAAATAAGACAAGTATATAAATAAAAATTATATATACTCTTTGATAAATCGAAGAACAATTGTTTCCTAATTAAACAATCATTAATAGTAAGCTGTTGCTTTATACAAAAAATGTCACTTAATTTTTATTAAAAAAATTATAAAAGAGCGACGTTTCAAAAATATTTGCTATAATCGTATTTATTTTGCTTAAGGTTTTTTCGCGTCTTTTTTAACTGTCTCTCATCGGTCCAGTTAATCTTATTGCGCTTTTTTGTTTATTTTTGAAATGTTCTCAAAACGACTTAAAAATCTGGCCGGCTTTTCACAACTAAATATTATTTCCGTGGTCAATTATCGAGTGCGATCGCACCCGCTTCCCAACCAAGCCTGTAGTATTGCATTCAGTTTAAATTTTTTTAATATTTTAAATAATTTGCTTTAATATTAATATAAAAAATAAAAAAATAAAAAAATTACTTGGATATTATCTAATGTTTTTTTTTTAATTTAACAAAAAACTGTGGGCGCAAGCATTATTTAAACAAATTAACATTAGCAGGTAATTTGAAGATTAGTTATTGCAAGTTTAAATTTAAAAAATGCATTGATTTTATTTGAAATTTTTATTTTATTTTAAAAACAATACAAGTTCGCTTATTTTTAAGCACTAAATTCTTTTTGTGTGTATAGTTTCAGTCATAAATAAGAATTATTACTCAGATGAAATTCTAAACAAAGAAAAGAATAAAAACTTTGACTGCCCAAAAAAACAATTTACCATCAATTCCATGTGTCAAATTGACCGCTCGCATTTTTATTCTCCACGCTGTATATATAATATATATAATATATATATATATATATATATATATATATATATATATATATATATATATATATATATATATATATATATATATATATATTATATATATATATATATATATATATATATATATATATATATATATATATATATATATATATATATATATATATATATTTGTATATTTTATCACTTACTG